CTCATTCTTGAGGACTGGGTCCAGCATTCAGCGACTGAAAGCCTTTGCCGTCCTCAGACTCAGCTAAATCCGGGGCCTTGACTGTCTGCCAACCCTGTCAGTCACAGAGCTAATCTGCTCCCTGGCCACGGATGTGTTGGAAAGTTGGAGGTGGCTTGTGGTCCAAATGGAAGGAATCCGAGGACAGCAGCACTCTGTGGATTCCCACGATCCAGGAAAGCCTCTCCGACACCAGCCAGTCAATCGGGGCATAGATCCCATCTTTTAAAAGCTGCACACTGCCTGGATTTTGGGAGCTGCTCCGATATTCTAACGTTTCGTAGCTACTAATCAGATTGTGAGTGACAAAATGACGCATTCTAGAACAGCCCAGGGACGGAAGCTAATTGAACCGTCAGCAATGGGAACTGGCACAGTGCTTGGCCATGAAGCATTCTGGGTCAGCAACTTTGCGATGTGACCAATTTCCACTGGAAAAGGTGTAGTGTTTTGCATTGTTAAACTGTGCTCTGCTGACAGTCTACCATTGAACACACAGTGGCGTTTCTGTGGGTAAATATTTTGCTAAATACTTTTTATCACGCACAGTATCCCATGTTACTGAATAGTAATAGAAAAAACAGCTGTTTTTGCAGCTTGAAATTTTGTAAAAGCAAGCTGGAGAGTGCTTACTCTGCGTTTATGGTCCTTGGGCACACATCTGACAACTGGAAGTACATTATCCTACCCCAGACTATATGTATCTATATTGCTCTCTTTGATGTTATCGAAACATTGTACATTTGCTCCAAAGTGTCTGCAAGGCCACTACTGAAGTTGTAGCAGTAGTTTTTGTGAGGTATCCTGCAAAAACAGGGGCATATAAGGGGGCGTGGGGTACCAGACCAAGCTGAAAGCTGATTGGCCCTTGGAGTACCCCTTTCCCTGTCACTCTCAAATTCAAATTCAAACCACTTCATTGGCTGATAAGACCCTACAGCTGCAAAAATAAAGCCTCATGGCACCAGTACCTCTCCAGTCCTCATTCCCACTTACACTCAGCTTCAGCTTCACTTAGGAAAAGCAAAGCCTCTTGTAAAGATTTCAAAGCATCCACAGGAGCACTTTTGGGGCCATTTAACCCCTACCTGTTACTGCATGTAGACGTCAGAGTGCTGCCCCCAGATCCCGTTGAGCAGCAATGCACTGAAAACTAGCAACTGTCGCTGCGACCACCAGCCAAAAAGGCCCCGGGGAACGAGTTCTCAAAGATGTCACAACTTTTCATGCAAGGTTTGAAGTTGGGAGTTATGGTCTAGAGTAGGTTAGTCAGCCAACCGGTGGAAATTAAGTAGCTATTACACTTTGGGCATGGTTTCTGAGACATACCCTGTACTGTCAGTACCACTAATGGCCTAATACAAGCCCATAGCAGCCTGAGATAAGTCATTGTGCGTGTGTGCATATTTTTTACTCTTATCATAAAACTTTCACAATGTTGCTGATGATTTATCGATCTTATTACAGCCTCTACGAGATGTAGTCATCTTGTTCCTAGATGTAATCAGTGACGAGAACGTGATCCTCCTAAATATCCATGGACCAATGAGGAATTCAGATGGCAATCAGCACGAGGTCTTCCGTCAAGGGCCATCAATGGCCGTTAGCATGGGGAGATTCTGAACAGGGCACGAGAATCAAAGCGCCCAACTCTATGCAGAAATCAGACAAGACCGATCATCAGAAGCAGGACCAGGGGGAAGAATGGAATAAATAATGTAGAATGTGTGTGGATGATGTGTGTGTCTTTCAGCAGGGAAAAAGGCAGCCAAATTAAACCAGTACCTCAAAGGCGAAAAGATCAATATCGGTCCCCCAAAGAAGCCCACGACTGGGGTACCCTTCAGTACCTACATCACTCTACCACTGTAATGACTGGTCCTCCACAATCACAAGCTGGCTATGACCTACAGCCATGCATTTGGACTTGGCTGCGTCATGCAAAATTACGTGACTGACAATCCTTTGATTGTTATATATATACACTGACATCAAGATGTTAGTGTTCTGGAAATGGAAATTAGCCAGTATCTCTGCCATAATCGAGTCATAGATATCAGAAATCACGTATGGCGTGTGATAGCTAGGTCTCAAAGGATCGTAATACAGATCTAACTGCAACACACTCGGACTATAACAGACAAATTCCCTGCTTAGCCAGTGACAAAAGGATCCTAGGTCTTTACAAATTATTCTAACCATGCGGACCCGAACGAGAAGGCAAGGGTACAAATATTCCCAAAGGTTGAAAAAATCTGGCAAGAAATTCATTACTGAAAAAAGTTTGATTTACTTTCTGCCGCATTGTGCAATAGGTAAACCTTACAGGCTTATTTTTCACTAATCATTTTCATCCGACAGGATATCGATCTCTCCCACAGCCTAACAGAACTCAGGGCCAATGAGCTAATGGGTCATACTGGTTACCTTCACAGAAAGGCTACCTTGTTTCATTAAATCTCAGTCAATGTGCTTAAAGAAGATCCTATTTATAGGGCATTCTGCTTTGGTATTTCGTGAAAGACTTCAGGAAGATAAGCAAAAATAAGATAACAGGAGCTTACTGGAGAGCGTGATCATGGAACACTGATCATTTTATCACATTACTCACGTTATTGCAATGCGACACATGACGAATAGGGCCATTAGCTCTAATGTATGACTCCAAGAATCACTAAGACGTACAATCACCAGAATCACTAAGACATACAATCACCAGAATCCAAGGGCTGTTTTTTCATGGTTCGTTTAGAACATTAATTGTGATATTTGCCAGAAAATCAATTTTTATATATTATTTGTGAAATAAAAAGAGTGAGTTTAGGGAGGTGTGGAAATTTAGTGAGTTGCTCGGGGCCTCGCTACTTGGGGGTTTCAATCCCAGAGTCGGTTCCCAAACCTCCTGTTTCCACTGATTTCCTCTTGCAGTAAAACTGCTCTCTGAATTGTCCATAGTGTGTGTATGTGATCATGTGTCTATGACACTGTGTGGACATGTGATCCCCACAATTAGGCAGGGGGAAAAAAAAATCTTATTTGAACCTTGTGGTAAATTTTTTTCAGTTTATCAATTTTATAAAAATCTGGGGCTGCAATTAAACAAAAAAGAGGAAACTAAAAATGCCAACTTCTGTATTTTGTTTGATTACTTATGGTTAAGGTTAGGGCTGGGTAGGGGTTAGGGTCGCTGGGATTCGGGTCCCAAGAAAGATATAAATACAAGTGTGTGTGTGTTTGCATAGACCACTTTTGAGATCCCCATTTGGATAACCTCAGTTTTATAAGAATCTGTGAATGCAATCAAAAAAAAAATATATAAGTGCCCAAAGCATTGTATTTGAGTTGGTTACTTATGGTTAAGGTTAGGGATGGGTAGAGGTTAAGGGTGTCGTGATTGGGATTATGGTTTTTCCCATAGAAATGAATGGACGGTCCCCCATTTAGATAGAAAGACCAACTTGTGTATGTGTGTGCGCGCGCACGCTGTGATAGACTGTCCTGTCCTGTCCTGTGCTACTTGGAATCAGCTCCAAGCTCACGGTGAATCTGCACTTGTGTTAAATAGCTGTGGAAGGTGCATGAATAGAGGACTTTAATTCTCAGTGTATGGACACAGAATTTTGTGATGAGACTTCAGCCCCTGACGTGACACCATCGTGCGAGGTGTTTGATCTGAATTGCTTTGGTTTAAAGTATCCAGCCCTTAAAACAGTTAAAGGATTTGGAAAAGTGTAAAGCTGAAATGCCTATTGTAAATAATAAAAGGCTATGCGGTTTAAAAGAAGCCTGTTAACATAAGTCATTGGTCTTCTTTTTTTGCATTTTATGTACGAGCCAGAACAAATGACCTCCAAATAAAGTATCTACAGAAGTCTCCCTGTCCTATGGGCATTTTATCACATTAGCTCATGCTTTCTGGATTAATGAAAAATGAAGTGTAATACAGTGTGCATTCTCTATGAGATAAGATTACGAAGTCATTTGCCCTAAAAGAAAAGAAAAAAAAAAAAACACGTTTGGCACCATTGCCCCCCCCCCCCCCCCCCGACCCCCCCTAAAGATGGAGTATGGTATCAGACTCAGAGTACGCAGTAGGGGGGCCCGGGTGATAGGGCAAAGAGTCGTCTGTCTCATTTATGAACGATGAGGACCTGTCCCATGGTGACCAGTCAGCGGGAGTGGGGATGGGTCTTGAAATTTAGCAGCGTCCCGATGGGTCCCATTACTCTTCCATACAGCCTGTTTTGCTCAGCACCGCAAATGCACTCTCAGCTTAATGGAATTAATAAAGCGATGCTGTTTTCAGGTTTGTGTAGCGCCCCCATGCCACGGTGATGGGCATGACACCTAAACTTTATCCAATATCTCTATGGGGTGACCCAAGTTCTTTTATTTATATAGTTATTTATGGTTTAAGGTTTGAGATGTTAGCTCTCACTTAATTGGTAAGAGTTTCGGCTGTTATTAACTATTAAGAATACTTCTCATGAAATAATTAATGACTTCAGTAGTAAAATGAAAATATATCGTGGTTTGTCTTCCTGCCAATTACCAGTTCAGTATATTAAATGGGAAACTAAATCACCATACACACCTTTAAAGTTCATATGAAACCTAGTTTCCCTTAAATCAAACAATTTAAGAAATCGATCTTACCTTAGAGAAATTATTTCGGGTGTGCTAGGATTATCAAATACAACCAATCACTTCTAATAGCACCTTTAAATGCTTAGCATAGTCAGGGAATTAACATTACCATACATTAGCAGCAAACAATAAACCCAACACATTTACAAAGTCCAGCTGAATGCTCGCTGAAAGTTCACGAAAGCTCCTATGCCGGCAGTATAGAAACTAACACGCCCCCCTGGTGAGGCCTGGTAACGAGGCTCGGGAGCGGTGAGACCCGACATGGAAGCGGCCGCTTCGCTCTGCGAGCAAACAGATAGAGAAGCAGGTACCTGCCGCTTCAGGAGAGGCGCGAAGCTCCGTCGCGGGGGGACGCCTGGGAGCCCGTATCTCCTGCAGACCCGTTTGGCTGGCGTCCAGTTTCCCCTTCGCCCACCTTGCGCAGGTGAACGGCGAACTTGACATCTGAAGTCGCAACAAACTCAGTCCAACGAGTCCGTGTCCCTTCAGGACGATGGTAACTGACACTGTGCCGGAGGTCGCGTTTAGCTTAAGATGGCGGCCAGGCGCCACAGCGCACTTACGATTAATGCTACTCCCGCGGTATTAAACTTCAGAAATACTTTGAATACACGATCAGAAATACCCGATCTCTGATAAACTACTTATCAATCCGACAACTCTTACCGTGCGTAATTCCACTTCTAAAGCCTAGAGGTGGATATTAACCGTATAATTACAACTTTCCTCGGCACTATCCGTCTGCGCGCAACCATCCCCACTCCCTTTTTCTTCCCGCTTTTCCTGCAACAGGGTCAGGTTCAAAGGTCACTATCCATTTTCACCCAATAAACTCACAGAAATTAACATAATATTTTAAAATACAAACAAAAGTCAGGCCTTGAGAAAATAAACAGATTTTGGCACAGTATATTCAAAAGCGACTTTAATACATTTTGTAACATTTTTCAAAAACAAGGAAATAAAAGAAAATATAGCACAGGGCTACATTTGGAACATGGGCAAAGGCATATAAAGTGAGCCAACACAATAGAATAAATGGTACATCATTGTTTGTGTTTTCTAAAGTAATGGAGGCTGTTTCTGTATTTAGGTGGGGACAGTGTTATAAGAAGCTGATGTGGAACAGTTATAGATGGGAAATGAACGCTGGTTATTTCACATTCCATCCCATCTAGGGCATTCCTGTTCCGCATGTTCCCGTTCCGTCTGTTCACGTTCCACATGACCACGTTCCGCAAGTTCCCCAGGATAGACTCCAGGGGCATTTTTAAGGGCATATGGAAAATGAATGGATGGATATTTCACACATTTAATCAGGGTATACTCAACAGGATGAGAGAAATAAAAATAATCAGTTTAATTGTGTAAAGAAGAAAGTTCTAGAATAGATTTCTAAAGTAAAAGTATCTGGGACGGTGATGGAAGGAGTTTATTAATTACCTTCACAGGCTCACATTTACACGAATGCTATCTTTAGTCAATCTGGGCCTTGTGGAAGACAAATGTTTCCATGCTGACTGGTGACGGAAGCGCCAAAATCATAAATCAGCAATACAATAACATCAAGACAATCAGCCATGCGCAATACATTACAAAACATTTGTTATAAACTGGGACCTAAATGTCTGAACAAAAAACTGAAGATGAAACATGGTGGCCAGTTTATTAGTTATATCTGGATGCTAATGCAAAAAGCCAGTCATGTGAAGTATGATCTAAGCCATTGTTTCTCAACCCAGTCCTTGGGGACTCCCAGACAGTTCATGTTTTTGCTCTAACCCCAGCTCTTAGGAGGGAGCAAAAATGTGGACTGTCTGGCAGGGAGCTGGGAGGGAGTAAAAATGTTGACCGTCTGGCAGGGAGCTGGGAGGGAGCAAAAATGTGGACTGTCTGGCAGGGAGCTGGGAGGGAGCAAATATGTGGACTGTCTAGGGTCCTGAAAGATCGCACCAAAAAACACTGATCTAAGCAATTTTTAAAATGATATGATTGCTGGTGCCAGTCATCTCAGTCCCAAGTAGATGGCTGTTTTTTTCATACTGGTTTCAACCAACCAGTTGAGTATAAAAAGGTCACAGTCATAAAGTACTCAACTGGTTGGTTGAAACAAAATCTCGGTCTGGACTTTTACTCTGTGGACCTGAACTATCCACCTCTGGAGGGTATCCAGTCAAAGGGGTGGCTGCTTTGATTAGCAAAAAGTACGAGTATGAATGCAAAACGGGCAGGTTGACAAGCCAGAAAGAAAAAAAAAACCTCGAACCCGAAATGAGGGTGTTAGGAAATCCATCATGACGGCGGTTTTCAGCTCACAGCATGTCACTGCTCAGTCCTGCACCAGCAGCAGTGACGGATGTGCCGGGGTGACGAACAGAGCATAACAGGAAAAGAGAAAAAAAAAACACACAATCTTGTAGGTCTGCCAGTGCAACATCAGAAACTAGATGCAGTGTGATAAATCTAATGTTATTGCACTCACCTCAGACTTCTAAAGATAAAGCGTTATTAGCAGTCTAGGAAAACGAATTATTTAGCACCTCCAACAATCACCACACATTTATGATAGAACTATAATCAGAATCATTGTCAGCAGCTCCTGAACCCTGTAAGAAATGTCTCTAATCAGAAGTCAAACGCTCAGCTTGACACCCCATGGTAACATTTTGCAATAAAGCTTTATGTGAGATTTTTTTTTCCCACATTTTTAACGCATCACAATGCACAGGGAATAATTAATTTTCCGCTCCAGAAAAATCACTGCAGCAACTACATTTCCAGATCATTCTCTGATATAGGAGTATGCATTCACTGCAGTGCATGCAGATTGACCACCCCCCCCCATCCAACCCTGCGCCCCCTGAAATACCCCCCCCCTCCCGAAACCTGCGTACGGCGGGAGCCAGGAGAATCGGCCAAATGAAAATATCTGTGGCTTTTTTATCACATAGATTTGACTTTCATGTGCATAATAGCCACATTCACAGCTGGCAAAATAAATAGATATAGAAAAAAAATTGCTTCGCTATATATTTCAGTTCAGAATGACAAACCTCTTAATCTTCCGTGATGTTTACTGTCAGAATGTTCTAAAGAACCACATCTCAGGTTCCCCAAGCTAAAGTCCCATCCAACAGAGCACCACTGGGATTTCGGGGAAAAAAAATATATATTCATAAAAAATATATAGGGGCACAGTATGAAAACCTAAACACATAAAATTCATTTGAAAAACTGGAAAAAGCGGTTTGAGGATGTATGCGTTTTCCACGGAGAATAATAAGTGGGTGATTTTAGAATTCATTGCACTGGAGTTTTTTTTTCTTTTTCATTTCAATCACTCAACATGGGCTGCAGTTTGGAGTGTGACCTGTTGTTGTACCCGTGAGCAGAGTAATTAACTGGAATGGCATCAACTGGGCTCATTTTTAAACTCACCGGCATCTTATCGGGTACCTGTGCTTGACAGTTTAATAACAGTCCGCCGCCACTGCAGATCTCTCTTGTAAATGGCATTTATGATCTCCCTGCATCTCCTCTTCCTTCCCCATTCAGGCTGGAAAAAGGGTCATTGCTACCGTAATGGGGCCACCCCCCCCCTCCCCTCCCCTCCCCTCGTGGCGGCTCTCTCTCCTCCTCTTTAACCTGGCCTCTGCTCTCCCCCGAGCCCGAAATCGCTACCCAGTCCACGTTCTCTGTGTCTCTCCTGCTCTCAGGGGACTTTCACCTTTACAAAAGTGTTCTGAGGGCAAAAATGATTGGTTCAAAGAGATAGCCAATCAGATTGTAAAAGAGGTGGGTCTAAGCAACTAGAGAAGGCGGGACCAACAAAATAGATATCTTGGTCCCGACTCCTCCACTTGCTCGGACCTACCTCCTCTACAATCTGACTGGTTATATCTCTGAACCAATCATTCTTTCGTTCTGTGTAAGTAAAACTCCCATGAGCCTCACCTGCTTGTCTAGCCGCGGTCGCTCTCTGCATTGTGTTTGGGTTTTATTAGGTCTGTGTGTGTTTTTGTTCTGCAGGTCACACAGCGGAGTTCCATAGTGCCCTTCTCTTTAGCAGCGTGCAGCACCTCCCACCAGCCGAAAGGGAAATAGACCTTTTCCTCTAATGACTGTTACTTTCTATGACACATCAACGTTTCGCTCCCAGGGTTCTGCTGGGACCGAGCTGTGTGCAGCCTCCATGATTGCTGGCCAGCCTCCTCTCCTCAGGCCATTGCTGTTTGACCTGTGTTGAGACCTCGTATTTATTTTTGGGTCAAGGTGGGGGGGGGTTACAGATGCGGGGTGAGACACATATAGATGCGTATGGAGGCCAGGTCGAGCATTTGGGTGCTGGGTTCCTGTTCACCGGATCTGTGACGTTTCAGATCATCCATGAAGTGTGTCCATTTAGTTGCATGACAACGAGACCACGTTTCCCATAATGCTGCTGTTGCGGAACCATATGCAAACGTCACATGACTTGCAGTGTTGTTCCAGGCTGGAAACCTACGATGTAGGCCAGGTGTCTTTTCTTTTCTTTTTTTTTTTCCTGGAGAACGATTATTAGTGATTAAAAGTCATATTTGTGTCTCCGTCTCATGCTCCAGTTCACATTAGAAACTAGACATGACGCATCACCTGATTCTACAAAATCTCCAAGAATATTAAGCGGGTTTAATGAACTACCAAATCCCCTGATTTTACAGCAGGGGTGGTATGGCGGTGCAGTAGTTAGCACCGTAACCTCATACAACTGGGACTAGGGTTCGAATTGGTGCCATAGCTCCGTGTGCCTGGAATTTGCCTGTTTTCCTCATTTCATCCCGGTACTCTGGTTTTCCATCACAATCATAAAAAACATGCTGAGGTTAACTGGAGTTACCACACCCGTAGGTGTGGATGCGCGACTGATTGACGTGTGAGTGTGTCCTGTGATTGGTTGGCGCCCCATCCAGAGATGTCAGCTGCCTGGCACCCATTGGTTCCAGAACCCCACAATCCTGAACGGGACAGAAGGATCTTCTGGGATGAGACAACAAACACACACAACAGCTTAAATAAATAAAGCAGTGATACTGAAACCTAAATTACAGAACTACAGAATTACAGGCCCGCCAAACCATGGAAATCGTCAGCCTTTTAATATTCCCTCAGGCTAAAAAGACCAGAAGCTACAACTGGCTTACAATATTAATATGGAGACACGCATACGTTATGTAAGGTCTGTCTAAAACGGGGGCTTGAGTTGGCGTATGCTCCGTGGCTTAGTAGGGGAGAAGTGTGAAGTATTTCAATAGTTATTTAGCCTTCATTACTTCATGCGTTTATTTGAGCATGTGAAGAACTAAAAAACATCGGTCTACTTTATATGTGATAGGCAGTACTGGGGGCAGCGTGTGGCTCAGTGGGCTAAGCCGCGTTACCTGTTATCAGAAGGTCGCTGGTTTGTACCCCAGCAAAATAACTATATATCTGGGCCCTTATCCCCCAGCTCCAAGGGTACTACATGCTGATAAGGAACAGACAAAAACAAAGTTACCCCAGGATTAAAATCACTATTTTATTCTATGTATCATCATCTTGCATGTGGATCAAATATAAAGTGCAACTGAGTACTAATTTTTCAATACATTTCTGATGGTGGATTGCAGATGGTGTTAGTACTTGAAAGGTATTTAAAGGTATCCAGATCATCTGAATACAGGATGTGCTCAGTCGCCGTACTCAGTCACCAGCACCATTATAATCTCCCAATCACCCTCCTCTCTCCAGGATGGAATGTTTACCAGAGGAAATACGGTGACGGGATCCAGTGCCGGGCAAGGTAACATCTCATCGGCAGATGATAAATTTAGGCAAATAGCCGAGTGTGGTTCCGGGAGATGACTGGAATCTGAATCTACCTCTGCCTCATACATATCTACTCCTTTACAATACGCACAGCATTTGTATTATATGATTACATCACCTGCGATGGGTTTGGGGGGTTATCTCTGCCTTGAGCCTGTAGCCTCCGGACCCCTGCAACCCTGAATAGGACAAGCTGCTACAGAAAATGGATGGATGGTTGGATGGCACCACACTATGTTTACATGTTTAGTGCTATGTATATGTTTATATAGCACAGTGTATATGTATTACAAATTTGTCATAATTATATTCATATGTATTGTCTTATTGGCATACTGTCTGATAGTACAATTTTCCAAAACATTTTTGTCGCATTTAAGATCAAACCGCCAGTGACCTAAAGTCAGGCTTCCTCATCATGTGTTGCAGTGTTGGGAACCAAAACTCACTCATTTCTCCTGTAATCCAACAAGGGAATTTCATTAAATTTCCATAACTCAGTCCATCAGACTCGGCATAGGAGAAATGGGTATAGAAAACAGCTGAATATTTGCTTGCTGGAAGAATATGCAGAGTAACCATTTCTCTGCCTGGTGTCACTGACTATTTACTGTGAGACAATAAACTCTTGAACATTAAACCAAAAAGAGTTGAGTTTCCTCACAGGGATGAGTATAGAGGCATAGCTATGTGTCTCTGAAAGGTGCCAGGAGATAGCGACGGCCTGCCTGCCACGATGAGGCCTTATCTTATCCCACGTCTGTCGCTGAAACCCGCTGCGCACCAGGCAGGAGGTAGGCGGACGGCGCCGTTTCGGACCGGCCGTATGCTTTTAAGCGCCAAAAGGAAAGAGAAATGCGCTCAGCCAAAGTGCCTGGCCCTTCCCCGCCTTCCCAAAGGCGGCCATTTGCAGGAACAAGCGATAAATTATGCAGAGAGAACAAATCAAAATTCCCAGTGCAATAATAATAATAATTCTGAGTGCAACCCGCCTCATTGTACAGTAAGTGCAGCGAGCAGGCGTGTGTTTAACCCCCAGATGTAAAGAGCTCTCAAGGCTTTTTTCCTGTCTGTGTTTGAAAAAGCATAACATATCTCCACCTTCTTTTTATACACTAGCAGGTTCCACTTAGAGCTGATCAGTGTCACTTTTTTTGACAGGCGGTTGTAGAGAGAAGGGGGGGCGGGACAAACTTCATGTTTGGGGGCCATTTTCCACCCATGCCCGTGCTATCCTCCGAATGTCTAGCTGCTAGATTCTCCGGCTTTGGCTGGACGTGTTCATCAACAGAGGTGGAAAGTTCAGGTTCAGAAAGTAGAAATCCAGACCACGATTTTGTTTCCACCAACCAGTTGAGTTACTCTGTGACTGTGACCTTTTCTACTCAACTGGTTGGCTGAAACAAAATTTTGTTCTGGATTTCTACTTTCTGAACCTGAACTTTCCACCTCCGTTTATTAATACTAACACATCACAGGCTGCAACCCTTAGAAAAATGTATCACTCCAGCTCCTACCGTGTCCCATCTACTACCTTTTCACCCTCCCATAACCAAATGCGGAAAGATCTTCCTTTACTGAACCATTGTGTGCAGTTTTTTTTTTAATGCAGATGAATATCTAAGAATATAAAATAACGAAAACCCTTGATTTTTTTTAAAGCAAGATTCTCCATGCAGCCAACAAAGAAGCAGGTAGAGCAAGACATATTTGCATACCCATTAAACCCACCTGTGAAGAGTGTTTGCACTGCCTGACCGCGGTGGAACAAATCAATGAAGCACAAGCTCTCTCAAAGTCAACTGTCTGTATTTCTAACCCTCCCGGGAGCATCACAGCCGCAGCTGAAGGACAGCCAATCTAAATTCAATGTCCGTCTCACGGAAAGACTTATAGATTCTGACTGTGTGTGTCTCTTCGGCCGTGGTTGGCCTGCCGGGTTACGGCTGGATCCGTGATCCAGAAAAAGCAAGCGCGCTCCAGGCCTTGCGGGAAGAAAGCCTTACGCTAAAGCTAACAGGAAAACTCTAGTCACGCAGGTCACGCAGCGGCAGAGTGTACAAGGGATTCGATTGGTCGTCGCTAGGGTGACCCCGGCGACAAAGCGACCAATTCCAACAGCCGTCAATGCATCCTTTGAAAATTTCAAATGTTGGTGAGAAAAAGCACTCAAATAAAGAATGCCTTACAGGCACTTTTATAGCATTCACATGCAAATTAGCCTGACATTACATGATAAAATACTACGTGAATGTAAATATAAAGCTAAAATAAGAATGAAATGTCACCTCGCATAAGTCAGCATTTAAGATACAAATTGCATGACACAAAATACTTATTATATGCATGAGTAATGTTTGAGCAGCTATCAAATGTGATACAATTAGCAGTTTTTTTGCAATCCCAGGCAACACCACAGGTAAACACAGCTTAATTTTTATAAGCATGGGAGAAGAAACGTTCATAATGTAATCGATCAAATCTAAATTTCTCAACCCAGTGCATGGAGACTTACAGACAGTCTACACTTTTACTCTGACCCAACTCCCAGTGCGCCTTAATCAAACAATCAAGCAATCAGGAATATATATATATATATATATATATATATATATAAAAAATACCTGGTACTGGTGTGCTGGGAGGGTGCAAAAATGTGGACTGGAAGCCGAGAAACATTGTCTGCAGTTGGGAAACACTGGATTAAACAATAACTTATTAGAGATAATTAACCTAGGGGTCTAGTCTGGAACAGGTGGCGTTTCCTGAAGTTATGTGTTTAATATTAAGCTGCACAGCCAGTAGTGATCAGCAGGTCATCAAATAGGATATTGCACTGTTTCCTCATGGGGTAAAGCAGAAATCTGCATGATTAGACGGTATGTAGAGCTCTATCACTCTCCTATCACTACTAAATGACAGAGGCGGAAAGTTCAGGTTCAGAAAGTACAAATCCAGACCAAGATTTCGTTTCAACCAACCAGTTGAGTATAAAGCAGGAGTGGCCAGTCTTGTCTTCAAAGGGCCGGTGTGTATGCAGGTGTTTGGGGTAACTTTTAGGTCACCTGTTCAAACCCAGGTGTGAAGACTCTTCAGCCAATCAGTTCTCTACTTAGTAATCTAACTAGGGAGTTGCAGCAAAAACCTGCAGCCCTTTCTGGATAAGATTGGCCACCCCTGACTTATGTTCATCGAAGGGCTTTAGGTTACCATATTTGCCCAGTTCTTGTGATGCAATAACGAAGTGAGGACTGTTTCAACAGGTATCATTACTTGGGGTTTTTGTAGCAACATGGGATTGTTTAACAAACACAATTGACTTTAGTAGTACAGCAGAATCTACTGAGCGGAATGAACACAAACTTGACTCTCTTTAGTTTCTTGGTAATAAAATCCATTAACGCCACCCCAGATATGTGTGAAAAACTCAAAAATCTAGTCCCAATTGTAGAGAAAAAGAAAGCAAGTGGCCAAAATGGCAGGTCATTCCGAAACAAAATGTTTGATCCTTGGTGATAGCAAGAAAATGAATGAAATGAAAATAAACAACACAATGGGATGATCTTACCAAGACCTCATCACTGTTAGAATTCTGCCCTAAGAGTGGAAAATAATCCCAATAATTCCACTGATCCATAACAGTGTTCTTGTGTTTGTAGATTGTCTTTCTCAAGACATTCTGATTGAGGGGGATCATTTTAACTCCTCCCCTTCCTCCACCTGCCCTCTCAGGTCAGGTGGTTCAGGTCATGCCCTATGATTGGCTGAAGGTGAGTAAGAATGGGGGCATACCTCAAATGTCAAAAACTGATCAAAATAAAAGTCTGCAAGGTTACACCATCCATCAAGGGCAATGAAATACTCTTTTTTCCTGGTTTCTGGAATTTTAAGCTTCTAAACACCCTTTTATTTCTCACATAAGAACATAAGAAA